CAGTGAGGAAATACTTTCCAGTTGTCCAGAGCTGAGTGTTAAGTAATGACCCCTCCTGTGCTTTCCTACAATAAACCTGGAAAACTCAGGCTGATCTGTTTCTTGTTACATGAGTGGACACGGTGCGGGCTCTGAGGAAGACGGGAGATCACTGCAAGGGTTACTGTGATTTTCTTTTAATCTTCTAGCAATACTGTGGTCCAGAGACTCAGAACCATTGAACTGTGCAGATCCTTCAGGTATTCTCAAGTTAAATATCAGTTCTTAGTGCTGCTGCTCTCACAAACTGGTTTTTGGTGTTTTACCTTTAGGACCTTGCACGTCTCACAGCGGAGTCGTTACCAGCTGACTTCTTGGCATCCTCAGTTCAGTTCCCAGCAGACAGGGATTGATGTACATCTCAGTAGGAAGCAGTCTCCAGTCAATTTCATAGATCTATAAATCACAGAATTCCAGGTTGGAAGGGACCTCGAGGATCATCTGGTCCAACCTTTCTTGCCAAAGCATGACCTAGACATGATGTCCCAGCACCCTGTGCAGCCCAATCTTAACAGTGTCCAACGCTGGGGCATCACCTCTTCCCTGAGGAGGTTATTCCAATGGCTGATTGTTCTCTGTACTTGAGCTAGCTCATTCCAGACTCTTTTTTCCCCTCTCAATTTGGCACTTCAGTTTGTCATCCCAATAAGGACATCTAATTCAGGTGCTCTCCATATGCTCCAGGCCACAACTGATGCTTTGGCAGAGGCAGAGCCTCTGTTCCCAAGTGCTGCCCTTCCTTGTCAGGTTACAGCAATATTGATGGGCAGCACAGGGAAGCTTTGGTGCTGCAGATAAGCCCACCAGGTCCTGCTGTTACCCAGCTCTCTGGCACAACCTCTGCTTCTCCTCAAGCTAATTTGGCTGCTCTGTGCTTAATGGTATGTAGGTTATGGTTTCTGATTTGCTCCCAGGCCCCAAAAGCTGCTAGTCTGGACCTTTTCTTTTGCATTTTCATTTTCAGTATCAAGATTTTGGCATCTTTCTCCCACTTCCTGAGCACTGGAACTAATTTCTACTGTTTGCTCCCTTCGTGCTGTGCTTGAGCTCCTTTCATCATCATAATAGGCAAAGATCACTTGCCTTCTGAATTACCACCAATTGAGAATCAAATACTGAAGAGCTATGGCAAAGTTCTTCATCTGTAATTCAAAATGCCTAAAACCCACTTGAAACTGTAAGGCTGCTAGGAGTATTTCCAATCTCCTCATGAGTATTCCATAGTTGGCTTCTCAATAGCATCCTGTAAGTTTTAACCTGATCCCTAGTTTGAATCATGGAAGAAATGGCAGGTTCTCTTTGTCTTCTTAGGTTTCATCTGTTCAAGCAGATCATATTCATCATCATCTCAGCTGAACTGAAAGAAAAGGGTTCTGTCGCTCTGATGATCTTAAAATTCAGTGTCAGGGTCCAGTCAAACACGTACAAACACATTTCCTCAATAGCATTTGACTGTACCCATTCCAAGATTCATATTTACCTTTGATTTCCCTGCTGTATGGATGAGCAGATTTGTAAACATGGAATCATGGAATGGTTTGGCTTGGAAGGGACCTTAAAAGCTCCTCCAGTTCCAACCCCTGCCACAGGCAGGGACCCCTTCCATTAGAGCAGCTTGCTCCAAGCCCCTGTGTCCAACCTGGCCTTGAACACTGCCAGGGATGGGGCAGCCACAGCTTCTCTGTGGCTCATCTGAAGTCCCCTAAAGCCACCAGTGTTGGTGTGTTTGGGGTGGGGGAGTGTTTTCACGGCCTCGCTCGTGCTGTCTCACCAAGATAAGGGCTGGGACCTTCCTGGCAGCCGGCTGAGTCCCGGCGTTGCTTTCACACAAGTTCACTGCAGGCAGGAGATGGGGCTTGTGGTGGGAGGCGAAGTGGGGTGTGTGCATGAGAAACGCTGCCCTGTGAAAGTGCATTCCCATCATGGGGCCAGTGAGCCCTTAACTGTACCCAGTTATTTGCGGCTGTAGCTGAAAGCAGAGATTTAATGAAGATACCAAGTGAGGGCTGCTGGAATCTTGGGATGAATCAGTCCCAACTGTTTCTACCATGGAGCAAAGGCACCAAGAAAGAAATTGGGCTTTCAGAGACTGGAGCAGCCCAAGTGGAGCTGATGCTGCCTCAGGAAGTTGTGAAGAGAGCAGGAAGAGAAGATCCAGATGGGAAAGACTTGCAGGAGATCATCTTGACACCGAAATCTTGTCCTGATGGTAGTGAAATCTGGCAGTTTGCCTTTAGAAAGTGAAACCCGTTTCGTCTGCACGCTGCAGCTCCCTGTTCCAGAAGTGGAAGCTTCTGAATCCTACCTTTTGCCAAATGAAAGGAATAACTTGAGAGGCTGCAGCACAAAGCCAGGTTGGGCACAGATCCTAAACACTGAATGGGCTGTGCTCCCCTCAGGGTTTTTAGGAGGACAACGCACAGAGTTCCACATGATGGGAGGAGCACAAAGCATCTTCCTCAATGTAGGATATGGGCTGAGCAGTTTTCAATTTGGCTTCATCATTAATGTGTCACATTAATCACAGAATCAGAGTGGTTTGGGTTGGAAGGGACCTCAAAGCTCATCCAGTTCCAACCCCTGCCACGGGCAGGGACACCTTCCACTAGAGCAGCTTGCTCCAAGCCCCTGTGTCCAACCTGGCCTTGAACACTGCCAGGGATGGGGCAGCCACAGCTTCTCTGGGCACCCTGTGCCAGCGCCTCAGCACCCTCACAGGGAAGAGCTTCTGCCTAAGAGCTCAGCTCAGTCTCCCCTTGGGCAAGTTAAAGCCATTCCCCTTGGCCTGTCCCTACAGGCCCTTGTCCCAAGCCCCTCTCCAGCTTTCCTGGGGCCCCTTTAGGCACTGGAGCTGCTCTCAGGTCTCCCTTCAGGAGCCTTCCCTTCTCCAGGCTGACCCAGCCCAGCTCTCTCAGCCTGGCTCCTTGTTGATTTTCATGTGCCTTAGCATGCCATCCAGGAGAATCTGCTCCAAGATTTTGCCAGGCACAGAGGTGAGACTGACTGCTCTGTAATTCCCTGGGTCATCCATTTTCCCCTTCTTGAAAATGGGGGTTAGATTTCCCCTTTTCCAGTTGTCAGGAACTTCACCTGACTGCCATGATTTCTCAAATATGATGGCCAGCTCCTTCAGGACCCACGGATGGATCTCAGCAGGACCCATGGACTTGTGCACGTTCAGATTTTTAGGATGGCCTCGAACCAGATCCTCTCCTACAGTGGGCGCAAGGTCTTCATTCTCACAGTCCCTGCACCTGCCTTCCAAGACTTGGGTGGTTTGGTCAGAGTCTTTGCCAGTGAAGACCGAAGCAAAGAAGTCGTTCAGAACCTCAGCCTTCTCCAAATCCTGTGTAGCCAGTTCTCACGAGAGCTTCCTGAGGGGGCCTGCATTCTCCCTAGTCTGTTTTTTATTTGCTGTGTACCTGTAGAATCCCTTCCTGTTATCTTTAATACCTCTAGCTAAGTTTAAATCTAACTGGGCCTTAGCTTTCCTAACCTGGTCCCTAGCTTCTCAGACAACACCCCTGTACTCTTCCCATGCCACCTGTCCTTGCTTCCAATTATTATAAGCCTCTTTTTTCATTTGAATTTTCCTCAGGAGCTCCTTATCCATCCAAGGAGGTCTCCTGGCCCTCCTGCTGCACTTCCTTCTAGTTGGGATGCAACACTCCTGAGCTTGTAGCAGGGGATCCTTGAATATCAACCAACAGTCTTGGGCCCCTCTGCCCTCTAGGGCTGTATCCCATGGAACCTTCCTAAGCAGGTTCCTGAAGAGGCCAAATTCTGCTAAATAATACAAATATATCACCACAAGCAAGAGAGTCAAACTACCCCTGCTAGAAGAGAACAGAATTTAATGCAAAAAGTCTTCACACAGAGTGGATTGGCAGGATGTGAGTCTATGGCATTCCCTTGGGATGCCTGCAAGTCTTCCGGGGTAGTGGTTCACCTATTTCACCCCATGGAAGTTATGCAGACAAATACCACAGCAGTTCTGATGCTTCTTGTACCAGCTGCTGTGTCAGAGAATGCAGCTGCAGCTGGAAGAGCAGGTCTGGCTGGTTTAGGTGAGATGCCTCAAATGCAGCTGCTCTAACAGAATACTGCTGTCATTAGGAGCTTGCAAGATAAAAGCTCTCCCTTACTTTCCCTCTGCTTTGTATTGGAGCAGATAAAAGGGTTGAAATGATTACCAGAGCAAACAGAACAAAGGATTTTGTGAAGGTCTTTGCATTCTCATACCAGTCTAAGCCTCTCTGCTACTGCTGGGAGAGCTCCAAGTGCCTCAGGCCATTACTGTCACCTTTGTGCTGTCATTAACAGAGACTTCATATGCACAGCCTGGTGGGGAAAAGAATACCTACAAGGAGGGAACTTGTCTATTAATAGAAGCCCACCAACAACAGCAATGAAGAGAACTTGTTAAACTTGCAGCAGAATAACCTGCTTGTTGGCACGATGTTTAAATCCTCAGCTAACCATGACCAGTCAGAATCCTCACATCCAGCCCCACTTGCTAGCAGCAATGTAGGCTCATTGCCTAAAGATCACCGTCTGCTGCTGGTTGCAAACTCTTGTGACAAATCTTCCTGGTGATTTTAAGCACATAAGGACTTGTGAATAGATATATATTGCACTACTCAAAGCATTTTCCTATCATTGGGAGGATTAAGGCTCAAATTTGATGTTTATTCCCTGTAAACTTTATTTTTTATTCCTTTTTCTAGCTCAATGTAAAATCTTAGTGTTAAATTGCGTGATGGTCATGAATTAGCCAACCTCCTGACTGAAGTCACCAGCAGGAGGCAAAGGTGTATGTTCTGAGTTTGCTTTTTGTTTATGTTGTAACTTAGTGGTATGAAGTTTTACCTTCATACCCACTTGGTTGTACCCATCAGCTATCCTATAGCTGCATTCCAGTAGCCAATAATGTAATCTTGGGCCATTTCCTAATGAAAGTATTCAAAACTTAGCATTTTAATTTAGCAAACAGGTGAAGAGCTAAGTAATCAAAATATGACAGTGTTCAGGTTAAATCAGTCTCAAGAACGCATGGAAATGGTTCTATAATTCAGTGATTTCATTACCAACCCCCTTTTGTAAGCACTTGATTGGTTTCAATCTAATAAACTGCCTTTGCATTTCAGTGTCAGGGCACAAACACCTTGGCCTGGAACTCCACGCTCTCTTGCCTGTAATTTGATGCAACGGAGGGATGTGCCTGTGATTTGTGTGGTCATGGAGCTGCCAGGAGTCAGCAGGTTGAATGGAAGACCCCCCCTACTTTGACACCCTGTGCAGCCAGGGCGTTGTACTGCTCCACAGCCTTCTCTGTTTGCAACACCAACACATCGATCCCGTTTTTCTTCAGATAGTCCACAGTGGATGCTGGAACCTCAGAAGAGAAAAGGAAATGGGAAAAGCAAGTATTAGGTTCTTTTCCCCTCACACTGTAAAGCAGGGATGGGGCATTCACAATTTCCTTGGGCATCCTGTTCCACCCTCAGAGTAAAGAGTTTCTTCCTTGTATCCAACCTCAGTCTCCCCTGTTTAAGTTTTAACCCATTACCCCTTGTCCTGTCACTACAGAGGGTTATTCTATGATTAAAATGCAGCCCTTTCTTACCAAAATAAATAGAACTGGAGCTAAAGGTACAATTAATCTCAATAAGGTGTTACTCACCTCATCAAAAAACAAAGAGTAGCTTCTGAAGCTCAGACTAGCTACAGGGGCTCAGAAGTGCTATCTGCTGAAGTGAGCAACAAAAATACCTCATTATCAAAGTCTTTACAGCAGGCCAGAGAACAAGTTCATGACCTGTTCTAAGAGGGTGAGTAATGACACCGTAAGAAGTTCCCCTTGTTTAAGTTCCTCCTGTAGCAGATGAACCTGTTTTACCATTTCACATTGATGCTGACACAGAGGATCTCATATGACGTTTCTTTCAGGAAAAAGGGACTCCTGGCAGGAGCTCACTGATGCCAATTCAGCATCCTGAATTTTTCCCCTTTTAGGAAGGCATCTTAGATTTCTTTTTCCTCCTGATCAGAGGGAAAGCAAACAGTTCTAGTTCATCTTTCTCACAGCACACAGGCCTACCTGCAACGCCTCACTCATGCCACGACCAATCACCACAGTTTTAACACCCTTCTTGACCACTTCTTCAAGGTCAGCTGGTTGCACTCCTGGAGAATGCTAAGAGCCAGGGGAGGAAAACAACAGTTTGTATTGAGAGCATCAACCAGGTAAGCTCCTTCTGTGTCTTTTGAAACTGTCCACAGCATAGCAGCATAAATTAGCAGTGCCAAAACGTAACACAAGCCTCTTCATACACACAGCAGATAACACTGGTAATTAAAAAAAGGCATTCTATATGCAGATGAAGGATGATAGTTAATCAATTGATGGTAATATTATAATACTTCATTGAACAGGTAAAAAGAAGCATTACATGAGTCTAGAATATGTGGAGCTGTTGCAGCAAGTCCAGAGGAGGCCATGGAGATGCTGCGAGGGCTGGAGCAGCTCTGCTCTGGAGCCAGGCTGAGAGAGCTGGGCTGGGGCAGCCTGGAGAAGAGAAGGCTCCTGAAGAGGAGACCTTGGAGCAGCTCCAGTGCCTGAAGGGGCTGCAAGAAAGCTGGAGAGGGGCTTTGGACAAGGGCCTGTAGGGACAGGCCAAGGGGAATGGCTTTAACCTGCCTGAGGGGAGACTGAGCTGAGCTCTTAGGCAGAAGCTCTTCCCTGTGAGGGTGCTGAGGCGCTGGCACAGGGTGCCCAGAGAAGCTGTGGCTGCCCCATCCCTGGCAGTGTTCAAGGCCAGGTTGGACACAGGGGCTTGGAGCAAGCTGCTCTAGTGGAAGGTGTCCCTGCCCATGGCAGGGGTTGGAAGTGGATGAGCTTTGAGGTCCCTCTCAATCCAAACCATTCTGTGACTCTGATTTACTTCTAAGAACAAGCATTTTATAGCTGTTAAAGCGAAATCCACAAACTGCAACATGTTGCTGTTTTCAAAGGAACAAAATCTCATTGTAACACTGATTGATTGCCCCAACCCAATCCTCATTTTAATTACAAAGAGCTCCTCAGATAATTAAAACGATAAAATGACTTCCTTGTTTACTCTGCAAATCTCATTTACCACTGAGGACTGGAATATGTTGTCATCTTCATTTCAGTTTCAAGTACTGCACTATTCCTAATGTGGAGAAAGGAGTATTTGAAACCAAACTCCTCCAAGACAAAAAGAGCTTTAAGAGCATGAGGGTTTTAAAGAAGTACAACTATTTACTACTACTTTAAACACAAGAATCCACAAATACACCTATAGTGTTAACATAAAACTTAATTATGTCACTGTAATTCTCCTCCTGGATTCAAGTTTTACGTATCTCTCTATGGCCAAGAGTAAGATACTGCACAGCCTGTGGTAGAATTTAGCCCCTCTTTGGTGTGCATACCATTCCCCCTCCTTTTTTTGAGTAGAATTCTTACGTTCCTTGAGAAAACTGAGATGGTTTTCACACCTGAAGCAGGTAATGCCATGGTGGACTTCTGGAGGATGTTATTTTAATGCTTTATCCCTTACACTTCCAGAAAAATACTCCAAACTTTCAATGAATTAAGGTCAAAGCACCAGCTTAACAACTGGTTTGATGTTCCATTAGTGAGCTCTGCTCTTTGTGTCCTCTCCTGTTCTTTCTTCCCTGCCCAAGTCTTCAGCAGCTGACGCTGCAGCCTCAGACAAGATGTGAGAGTTCTCAGCCCTGTCACTGCCTCAGCTTGCAGAACAGAGCAAGTGAGACTTCTGAAGCTGAAATAAACAAGTGAGGTCCTCAAGTTGCAGGTGAGAGAAACTTCCCACAGCAGAACGCAATTTCCAAGGGATGCATTAAACTTATTCCACAAGAAAGCCTTTAGCCTGGATGTTGCCTGGAATTTCAGCAGAGGTGGTTTGCCTTTATGGTTCTCTAAGTTCATAGAATACCTCATAGAATCAGAGAATCAACTACGTTGGAAATTACCTTCAGGATCATCATGTTGGAAGGGACCCATCAGGATCGAGTCTGATTTCCTGTTCCTCATAGGACTAACTAACCCTAAACCATATAACTCGGAGTGTTGTCCAGACACTCCTCGAGCACTAACAGACTTGAGGCCATGACCACTTCCCAGGGAGCCTGTTCCAGTGTCCAACCACCCTCTCATTGAAGAGACTTTTCCTGAAGTCCAACCTGAACTCCCCCTGATGCAAATTGACCCCTGTTTCCTTGTGTCCTATTGCTGGTCACCAGAGATCAGCACCTCCCCCTTTGCTGCTCCTCTTGAGGAAGCTAAGGACTGGGATGAGGTCACCCTCAGCCTTCTCCAAGCTGAACAAGCCAAGTGACCTCAGCCACTCCTCCCAAGACTTTCCCTCCAGGCTTTTCAGCATCTTGGTCGCCCTCCTCTGGATATACTCTACTAGTTTGATGTCCTTATGCTGAGGCACCCAAACCCACACATGACACTCAAGGTAAGGCTGCATCAGTGTGGCCTTGAGTGGGAGAATCAGCTCCCTCAACTGGCTTGCTATGCCATGCTTGATGCACCCCAGGACACAGCTGGCCAGCCCAAAAGCTGTTCTCTCCTTAGTCCATTCACATCTGATATCTACACCTAGAATGCAGAGGTCACTTCAATCCACAAAGCAATCCCAGAGCAAATCATTGCAAGTGTATGTTTGTGACAGAACAGGACATGCTTTTCCTTTGGGGTTTTTTAAAGTAGGCTGAAAACTTGGACAAAAAGAACTGGAATGTTTTACTGCAATTGCAATAAATGGATTACTGGGGAAGGTTTGTGTCACATAAGTACTCCTGAGACACTGAAGCCATGGAACAAAAGGATTTTCTTTGGTTACACAAGACACACTGATGTGGGGCTTTCACATGTGTTGTAGGAAACATGTAATGATGGAATAAGTGTATCCTTGTCGACTGGGCAGCTGGAGGGGGAGAGGCAGAGCAGCAGAATTCCTCGCCTCTTTTGTTCTCTGACTTCCTACTCTTTTCTCCCATGATGGCAGGAGTGCAGCCAGGCAGGGAGGCTGCCTTCCATTCCCAAGGGTTAAGGCTGTAAGAGCTATCAGTGCTCAGTTACAGAACCTTGCAGAGCCAGTTATGAGATGAAGGATTACATACCAGACAGCAGCCTGACAGCAGAGGAGGAAAGGAGGCAATTCATTCCAGCTGGCATGTGGGACATGATCAGCACTGCTTGTTTCCCCAACTTCAGTTCCATTTACCCCCAGGAAAAGCATGCTCAATTAATATAGAGGCACTACAGTCTACCATAAAGAAACATGCAGAAAATGCATCTGGTGAACGCTACTACTTCCAGTGCTGACTGGATTCATTTTGTACAGTTCTTCAAGTTGGAGATGCAGTCTGGAAAAGCTTAGCTCTGTTCTTATAGTGGTTGCTTGCTATTCATGTTTAAAGCATACCACCCAACTCCTCATAGTGGCAAGGAGGATAGAACTGACCTAAAGAACCAGGAAAACACTGTCAAACAAGCAAGAAGTGACTCTTGGCACACAACCCACCCCTCCAGCCAGTGAGAGCTTCATCTTTATCATCAGTCCCTAAAGGAATTACATTTTAAAAGGTTATATATGCAGCTATCTCTCCTTGCAAGGTAAAGATACCTTTGCAGAGAGAAAGGTAAAAACTACCTTTCTCTTGGCGTTATAAACTGTATAAATGGACCCCTGACAGGTTAGCAAAGTTCTGTTCCCCCAAAGATTATAGATGAAGCTGCAAACCCAAAGGTTCTGCCCTTAAGTTGCATCAAAATGAATTCAACAGGGCTGCGGATGCAGGTGCTGGGTCTAAGACGTGGTTGGTACATAGTCCTTTTGTGCTTTAACTTTTGCTTGGAAAGCCTGGAGTTTTTTTCCCTAGCCAACAGAGCTATTGTAGTGCAAGCCTAATATATGGGGAGAATTACCAACATCAAGTTCCTAACACAACAGATGTTATACTGCTTCTAAATCTGGAATGTCAACACTGTTCTATGGACTTTTATACTGTTCTGATAGCATTTACAGATAAAGCTTAAAAACTGTGAGGGCAAGTACTTAGTATATGGTTACCAAGAGCAGTCATTGTGTGCTTAGCCAGACTGTGAGCTTTTCATGGCAAAACCAGTGTGTATGATACTAGCTGCATATCTTTCCTCTGAAATAAGCACAAGGGACCCCAAGGAAAAGGATCTAAACTAAACCACATGCATTGTTGTCTTCCAAAGACACAGAGTCAGTTACTGGTGATTTCTTTTAGCTTCACTTACATTTTTTCCTGTCTCACTTAAGACAATTTCTGTTTACACCATCTGAAAGAGGCTGTTACCAGCAGCTGGTGACAACTGCACTCTTAACCAAACACAGGATGCTGTGTGAGACCTATAAGGGATGCTGCCTGGTGAGGGGAGCTGGGAGGAGAGTTGCTGCACCATCACCTACAGGACATCGTGCCTGCAGTCCTCCAGCCCGTTTGCACACTCATGTCTGAAACACACACTTGGTTCTTCCCAGGAAAAGCCCAACAGATGGAAGCAAAAGGCAACTTGCAGAATCTCTGGCTGGAATTCTAACAACTGGTCTTTGGACTAGAGATTAGTAACCAGCAAACTTACATTAGTCCCAGTTTCTCGCCAGTCCCAAGTTCGGCTTCCTCCTGGCCAGACTTTGCAGTCCTTGTATGTTGTGGAGCAGCCTTTCACCTTCATCTGACCCCACGAAAGGGAAGCAATTTCAGGGGAAGACATCACAAAGTTGAACCAAAGTCTGGAAGAAGGATATTTTAATGCATAACATCAGGCTAACACATGCAGCATGTTGACATAACCAGAAAGCTTTGCCCCTGCCCCAAGGAGTTAGGAAGGAAATGCTATTACAGGCTTTATCCACATCATTTCAGCACAACTGAATTGAACTGAGGGTAATTTTGTGCAGGATTTGGTGCAAATAATTTTATATACTAAATCTGTACAACTATTGGGTGCTCAGCTCTTAAAACTACTAACAGGGATCAGGTTCCAGAATATCCTCTCACATAGAATCATGTGAGCACAGACTGGTTTGGGTTGGAAGGGACCTTGAAGATCATCCAGTTCCAAACTCTCTGCCATGGGCAGGGACATCTTCCACTAGAGCAGGTTGCTCCAACCTGTGTTTCAATCTTCTCCCTAAAATGTACAATGAATATAGTAATTATATCCTAAAATATCTGAGACACGCTGTTTCTTTGGCTGCTTTGCTAATTAAAAGTGGTACATGAGGTTAAACAACTCCCAGTAAACACAATGGAAAGGCCACGAACAGAACAATGGCACTGCCATGTTGCTACAGCAAAGGAGACTTTCCAACCTTCTTTCCCTTGTCACTCCTGGCAGAGATAAATGTCTCTGGACAGTTAAACACCCAAATAATACATTTTCCAATCTCTGACCTCAACCTTCATCGTTTCAATTTAAACCCATTTTTTTCCTAATCCTTTCTATTGCTGACAAGAACAGCTTAAGCCTTCTCTTTTCCACCATCTTTTGTTTCCCAAGGACTTAACTCTGTGTTTTTTCCTTTCTTTTAAATGAAATAAACTTCCCTTCAGTCATGTTTTCTACATTTCTGCTTATTTTCTCCTCTCTTTTCCCCTGGCAGGCAACAATTGTCGTGCATCTTTGATGTGTGCTGCCTAGAACTAGATGAAGTGCTCCAGCTGAGGCCTTATCAGCACTGCTAACGACCAACTGCTTTTTGGTATTAAGCACAGTCATTTTGAGATCTCTATCACAGTCACAGCTGGGCAGCCATCAGGCAGGGATTCAAAGCACCAGCTCACCCCACCATGGAAGCTTATGCCCTCTTCACAGTCCCTCACATCACTGTGAGCTGATTGCTGCTGTGATTCTGGCAGCAAATGACAAGAGGAATTGCCTGGTGACACCCTGGAAATGCTCCTCGAAGGGAGTCACCTTTCCATCTGTCCAGTTCAGGAGGAAGATGGCCTGAACACCACATTATGTAGAAAACTGGTTGTGCCTGCAGTAAAAAGAGATCTGCTCCTGAACGATCCAGAAATTCTCCCTGGCTGATGTCTCCAGACATGAGGTTTCTCATCTTTTCCTTTTTAATCCAAATCCATCAGGAAAAAAAAATGAATCAATCACAGGAACTCTGGTGGCAGAGATTAAAGAGCCCTCACAAAACAGCAATCTTTGGGTTACCAGCTTTCCAACCCTCCTGGAAAGCCTTTTCCCTGGCTTTTAACATGCTACAGCAAATCACAGCACAGACACACTCTCCTCAGATTGCCAGGAGAGGGTCTCAGTGTCCCACTTCACATGACATAAAAACACATTAGGTTGGATTCAGAACAGGAGCAAGTCTGCCAGAGGTGCTTCTTCCACAGAAGAGCTGCAGAGAAGAGATGGGACCTGGACAGGCTGGATAGGTGGGACCATGTGAACCTCATGGAGTTCAACAAGGCCAAGTGCAACCCTGTGTCAAGGCCAGGTTGGATGGGGTTTGGAGCAACCTGCCCTAGTGGAAGGTGTCCCTGCCTGTGCCAGGAAGCTGGAATTGGATGGGATTTAAGCTTCCAGAACACAAACCACTCTGTGACTCTTCCATCCCTTGCCAAACAGGCAAGCAGCCATGAATGAAACTTGCTTGGATTCATGTATTCTGGCCTCCCTCACCGCACATCCACAATGCAGTGGATTTAAACAACGGTCTGCAAGACTTTTTTTCCAAAGATCTGCTTGAAGGGAGATTACAGCAGAAGAATAACCAGCTGGAGTCCCAACAGAATGAAATCACCAACCAACCGCAGTAAAGGTTGAATAAACTGCTCACAGCCTGGCTCTCAAGAATGAAAATAACCTTCGCCTGTGCTGCATTTGAGAGGGAACAGCAGAATTAGACCTGGAGATCTGACACTGGTGAATGAACAGTAATTAGAAATATCAGCTTTCCCAATCCAAATGGGAATCCAATCCATACAAGGCTGGAACTGGGCAACCACACAGGCACAAAACGCAAACAGGAGAGCCAGGGTTCAGGGAATCATACTGGTTTGGGTTGAAGGGACCTTAAAGCTCATCCAGTTCCAACCCCCTGCCATGGGCAGGGACCCCTTCCACTAGAGCAGCTTGCTCCAAGCCCCTGTTTCCAACCTGGCCTTGAACGCTGCCAGGGATGGGGCAGCCGCAGCTTCTCCGGGCACCCTATGCCAGCACCTCACCACCTTCACAGGGAAGAGCTTCCTAATCCATACTCTTGTTTCCAAATAGCACAAAAATAAGCAAGTAGCAGAAACAAAGAAAGAAAATTTAAAAGCCATAAATAAAAATTGCAGTCTAAAGCTATTTCCTATAATACTGCCAGAGAATACCAGTAACAGGATTTGAATTAGTAAGAGTATCTTCAAGTAAGAATGAACATTTTAGCTGGAACTTTGAACATTCTGGACTGTCGTGGTTTAAGTCCAGTCAGTAACTCAGAACCACGTAGTCTCTCTGTCACTCCCCTCCTTTCTCCCCCTACCCTGCTCCCAGAGGGATAGGGAAGAGAATCAAAAGAATGTAACTCCCACAGGTTGAGATAAGAGTAGTCCAGTAACTAAGGTATAACACAAACCACTGCCGCTACCACCAATAGTAATAATGATGAGGGAACAAGGGAAGAGAATACAACCGCTCACCACCCGCCCACCAATACCCAGCCAGACCCGAGCAGTGGTCCAGCCCTGCCGGGTAACTGCCCCCTGTTTATGCACTGGTCATGACGTGCTGTGGTATGGAATACCTCTTTGGCTAGTTTGGGTCAGGTCTCCTGTCTCTGCTTCCTCCCGGCTTCCCCTCCTCCCTGGCAGGACATGAAACTCAGAAAGGCCTTGGTCACATTAAACATTACTGAGCAGCAACTAAAAACATCAGAGTTATCAGCGTTGTTCCCAGGCCAAAAGTCAAAACCACAGCACTGCACCAGCTACTAAGAAGGAGAAAAATGACTGCTACCGCTGAACCCAGGACATGGTCCTGTCACCAGTCAGCAAGGAGCAGGAAAATGCTTCCCCAATAAATGATTTGGCTTTTTTAATTACTATGACAAAGGTACAGCACCAAAACACGCACCACCGCTTAAGATCAGAGACCATGAAGTCTATGACTCGTAAGTTTAACCTAAACTAACAGTGCTGCAGTAGTTCACACACAAAGAGACAAGGAGGAGGAATGGTTCAGGAAGTTATGAGAGTGCAAAATCACAGCAAATAAAGGAAGGAGAGCTTAAAAGGAGGCAAAATACAAGTTCATGCAAGGAGACTATACAGAATGAAGCAGTGGCTGAAAAAAAGAACAGCTGAGAATGAAACAGAAACTTGAGATGAAGTGCAGGCAAACAAGCAGGTGGATTTTAAAGTTGCCAACACTCATCTCCAGTGAGGGTAAATGTTGTTTCAGAGCAGCTCTCACCAGCAACAAATCGAGTATAAAAGCTGAACGACAGCAGCACATCAGGGTATTTTATGAAGAGACTGCAGAGGGAAGGAATGCTTCATAAAATCTAGGTGCAACCTGAGACCAAAGGGCACAAAGGTGACAGAGTAAGTCAGTACATGGGCAGCTTCAGACAGAACAACTGCAATGCATCAAAAGACAACGTTAATTCTTCAGGGTCAGCAGGTAAAGGCAGGCAACTTCTCCTCAGCCATTTCAGGAGCAATACAGCAGCTGAAGGAGCAGGTCTTCTTAAGGACTTCATACCCGACAGCACAACAGCAAGTACACAAGACAGGTTAAGTATAAACGGGGTAAGGAGGGGATAGATATCAAGTTTAACAACAAGAACTTTCTTCAGCTAATGCTGTTGCGAAGCCGGGTGAAGGGAACTACTGGTGAAGATCACAGAGAGCAGGGTGATGGGAACAGAGCAGGATTCCTCGAAGTAGGTGGGAGAGAAGGAATAAGGAAAAAGCAGGGAACCTAGAGGAGAGCAGAACCGCACGAAGGGGGATGCCACTGGCGGGCAGCGCAGCTTTCAGACACCCCCCAAACGCACCTCAAAGCAAGGCCCTGCCACCTTACCACTGTCTCTAACGCTAAGCAGCCCTACAGAGCGGCTGCCTGGCAGCGGGACCAGGAGACGAGCAGCCATTCACCCCCATTCCCGTCCCACCGCGCCCCCTCGCACTGAGGGGATGGATCCGTTACGACCGTTAACACTCACCCCACCGCGCGCTCCCCGCCGCCACCTCTACCGCGGAACGGAGGGGGCGGGAACGCTCGGTGCCCTCTCATTGGCCAGCGCTACCCGCTGGCCCCGCCCACCTCCCGTTGCGATTGGTCATCCGGGCGGTCTATCCCCGCCCCGCTATAAATAGCAGCGAGGGGAGCCCCGCCTTGTTTTCATTCCCTTCGCCGCACGCGGCGGAGGGCGGCCGGCCCTGCGCCGCTCTGGCCGCCGTTCCCCCCCGCCCCTCGCTGTTCCGCCGGTGCATTGTGGGATACTGGCGGCGCGGCTCGGCAGCGCCCCCTCCCTCCCTCTCCCCGCTCCCCCCTCTTTCCCCTCAGCGCCTTCTCCATCCTCAGGTCCAAGATGGCGGCGGCGGCGGCGGCTCCTCCGGCCCCATCTCCGCCTGCCCCTCCTCCGGCGGGCCCGTGCTGCCCCGGCTCCTGGCCTAACTTCGCCGTCGTCTGCTCCTTCCTCGAGCGCTACGGGGCTTTACTGGACCTGCCCGAGCTGCCTTTCCCCGAGCTGGAGCGCGTCCTGCAGCCGCCGCAGGAGCCTGGAGATCAGGGTGAGCGGCCCGGTTACCTCAGCCCACCACCCCCCCCGCACACACTCTGCATGACCGGTTGAAGGTGGGGGCCCGCGGTGCTGGGGGTGAAGTAGGGGACTGGGGCTATTCCCCCCCCCCCCCCGCCTCCTCCCGGTCCCGGGGGTGGAGCGCGTTGAGGGAGAGGAGGGGCCTGGGATTCCCGGAGCGGCGCTCCGGGGGGAGGGGAACCTTCTCCTGCTTTTTTTAGGGGGGGACCAGCTGTTTGTGTCTGGGGAGGGAGCTGCCTCCCCGCTATGGGGCACGGGAAGGACGTGGGGGGACCTTTCCTCCCCTCCTTCCCGTCCTCCCCCTTGTCAGTGTCGGCTGTGACCCCCCTTTCCTCCTCCCCCCCCTCCCCGTTCTTGTTTCCCTGAGTCCGTTCCCGTGCTCCGTGCGGGTGGGATTTCTGCAGAATGGAGGCTAAGCTAAAATAACTATTTTTGTTCACCCTGGCGCTGGCAATGGGGCTCTTCCATCTCCTCCCCACCCAGCAGCTTGGGGGTTTGCTTCTCAGCCTCCCCCCCCCCCCATCCCCACCCTTCCTATGTGTCCGTTTTTCCTTCACCCCTAAAGCAAGAAGGACACACACACATACACAAGGCAATGTCCTGATCCTCCTTCAACCCCTCCTCCTTCCCTCTCTGTGGGGTGAGGAATGGGGAGGGGGAGGCACAGAGAAGCCCTGCGCCCTCCCCATGACTGCTGTTGTAGGCCATCTCCTCCCCACCAACAGTCAGCCATTGTGTGCCACCTCCATCCCTCTCTTCTCCTCCCTCTCGTCCCCTCTTGTAGTTTGAGGGGGGGGGATAATCTGGCCGCTTCTTCCTTCCCCACCGCCACCTGAGCTGTGTGAGGTGGAGGGATGGGTTATACACTCGGCTGTTCCCTTTCAAGCTGCTCCTCCTCCCCTCTCCCCCTCTCTCCAGTAGCAGATTTGGTTGCCAGACTCCTTAATTCCTGCTCCCAGCCATGGAGGTGGGAGGGCCCTGTCCAAGCCTGGGGAGGGCTTTATGGAGGCTGCAGTCGCAATATAGAGGGGAAGGTGCTTGTTGCTCTTGGTCTCTTGTCTCTGTTATTGGTTTGGTTGTTGCCTCTGCACTCTTGCCACATAGGGAGACTGTGGAGCTCACGGCGCATGCTCGGCCGGGCCCCATAGAAACTTCCTGCTGCTGGAGAAGCCCAGCTCAGGGCTGCTTTTGGTCCAACAGCCCCTGCTTTTCCCCCCCAAACGCACTCATTCTCCCCTCTTTCCCCACCCAACCCTCCCTGTCTTCAAAGGGGGGGTGTTTAAATCAGCATGGAGGGGTTCCCTTATATAAAGGAAGTTGGATTTTGGGCAGAGTGCAGTTGTCCTGTCTGTGAGTTCACAACAGCCACTGCAGAAATACAGTGAAATAGGATTAATGTGTTGTCTCCTCGTGTTGTCCAGTGTCTGATCAGTATAAAACAGACAGCTGAGATCCACTAACTTCTAAAAACAGGGTTAACTTTATGGAAAACAGGTATTTATATTCAATTCCCCAGCAGCCCTTTACCTCTTATGTTATATAAAGGGCACATCAGGAACAGCACAGTTTTGTTAAACTGTTGCAAAACTTATTCATAAAACCCACCAACATACTATTTTGTTTGAATTTTTAATGAAAATACGTCTTTTAAAGTGATGTCTGTAAAGAAAACTGATGCTTTTACTCTGTGATGGGATAGGAGTGGGTGTGTAAGAGTAATTTTCTTGTGTGAACTGCAGTATAAATTCAAATGAAGGTGTGAGATAGTGACCTGTGTTTTAAGATATGCATTTGATTAACAAATATAATCCTGATGGCTTTCATTGCATGATGTGTGTGTCAGTAGGACAATTATTTCTGCATAACCATGTTCTAAACAGCTTTCCAGTGATTTAGATTATGGAGTTTTCATTATGGGTTGACAGGGGTTTTCTTGGTTACAACCAAATCATGGGGCTTAGATTGGGATGCTGGTGGCTGTCACCTGGTATCTTATAGCATAAATTAGGCATATACCTCATGGATAGAGTAGTGAAACAGTGTGTTTGTTAATGTGATTGATTTTTCTTGTCTCTAATGTGTGGTATCAAGCATGTTTGTGTACTGTTGATCAGAAGTTACAGGGTTTGGTGTGACTCTTTGGTAAAGTCATGATACATTGTAGTAACATGTAATCATGGAATGACAGAAGGGTTTGGAAGGGACCTTAAGGCCTGCATTTCATCAGGGTTAGATTTCCACCTTTCAGACAGTTTCTACTTGAAAAAACAACTAGGGACATTCATTCACAGAATCCCAGACAGATTTGGGTTGGAATGGACCTTGAAGCTCATCCAGCTCCTGCCCCTGCCATGGGCAGGGACACCTTCCACTAGAACAGCCATTCCCCTTGGCCTGTCCCTACAAGCCCTTGTCCAAAGCCTCTCTCCAGCTTTCCTGCAGCCCCTTTAGGCACTGGAGCTGCTCTCAGGTCTCCCCTTCAGGAGCCTTCTCGTGTCCAGGCTGACCCAGCCCAGCTCTCTCAGCCTGGCTCCAGAGCAGAGCTGCTCCAGCCCTCGCAGTGTCTCCATGGCCTCCTCTGGCCTCTCTCCAAGAGCTCCACATCCCTCTTGTGCTGCTGCCCCAGAGTTGGATCAGGGCTGCAGGGGGGTCTCCCCTTCACACAGCAGAGGGGCAGGATCCCCTCCCTGAGCTGCTGCTCACGCTCTGGGGGTGAAGCCCAGCACGCAGGGGGGTTCTGGCCTCAAGCGCATGCTGAAGCCAGGTCTTGGGGAGCTTCTCCTCACCCAGCACCCCAAGTCCTTCTCCTCAGGCTGCTCCATTTGGTCTCCTCCAGCCTGTGTTTGTGCTGGAATTGCCCTGACCCAGGGGGCAGATCCCGCACTTGGCCTTTGGGAAAACGATGGTTTTGGGATAATACTTGTCATGACTGTATTTCTCTACATAATATTTACTTCCATTAGTCTTCAAAATGCTGTTTTTAAGTGTACAAGTCATAAAGTTGCTAAACATTGATTGAAAACTAAAGTGGTCTTTTTTTCTGCTGAACATCTGTTATTTACCAACTGTATGTAGTTTTCCTTGGATAGCAAAAGGGACTTTGATTTCAGTTCTATACATTTTCACTTTTGATACCAGCATTGCTTGACAGTGGATTTGCATTGACAGTGTACATGAAATCGGAGCAAATAGCTACAGAACCTACAAAGTGTTTTATTTTCTGATTTTCTTGTATCTGGAGCAACTTTTAAATCCCAATAGAATCACAGAATCCCAGACTGGTTTGGGTTGAAGGGACCTTAACGCTCATCCGGTTCCAACCCCCTGCCGCGGTCAGGGACACCTTCCACTAGAGCAGCTTGCTCCAAGCCCCTGTGTCCAACCTGGCCTTGAACACTGCCAGGGATGGGGCAGCCACAGCTTCTCTGGGCACCCTGTGCCAGTGCTTCAGCACCCTCACAGGGAAGAACTTCTACCTTATATCCAACCTAAATCTCCCCTGTTCAAGTTTAAACCCATCATTCCTTGTGCTATCACTCCAGTCCCTCTCCAGCATCCTTGTAGTCCCTTTCAGATCCTGGAGGGCTGCTCTGAAGTAACGGCTGTTTCGAGCTCCTCCCCGTATTAATTTTGCAATGAAGGAAGGGAGTCAATACTTTGGGGGTTGTTTAACCCTGCTTTGAGGTTCAGCAGTTCCAGTATTGGTTTTGGGGTGGTTTTTTGGTCCTTTGTTTTTGAACACGCCTAGATTGTCTTGTCTCAAGAGTTACTCTTGTGAGAGATCAGTAGAGGTCGTTTTCTTTGTTAGGAGCCTCAAGGAGAGCCAGGAGCTCAGTCGTATGTTGTTCAGTGGTTGTAGAACACTCGTATTTTCTTTCCAGTTAATAATTACAGCAAAGAACTTGTCCATTATTGAGGGTATAAGGTATGACTTCCCTTACAGAAGGGATGCTGCGAGGATGCTGAGCAGATGCTGACAACAAGGAAGCTATCAAGTATTTCTTAGAGGCATTTTAGGTTTTTAAGGCTCAGACAGGACTTGAACTTTTATTGTATTATCTCTCCTACCTAAGAATTTCAAAACAAATAGCCATGACAGCAGTGCTCAAGTAAGAACAACTTCCTGTAGTTGTTTGACAAGTTTTGATATCAAATGAACCTGTATTAATAGGGGGTGAGATGTTTTAACTGTGTGTACACAGGTATGGTCTTGTCTTAAAGTGCACGAACCAATTTGAAATGCTCTTTGGGATTTGGGGGGTGATGTAAATCAGGCTGGAATATGAAAAGAGGAATGTGTGGTGTTGATTTTGCTGTTGAATTGTGGGATCAGCTAGGAGGTGTGAAAATAGGCTGCTTCTTATGAAGGCTTTATGATAAAACAGCTGAACTTCCTGGCTGGTGGCTCATTTGAAAGCTGTCTGATGAAGATTTGATTTTTATGAAGAATATCTTGCCTTTAAGAATGCTATCGCAGTGGGTTGGAACTGAATGAGCTTAAGGTCCTTTCCATCCCAAGCCATTGTGTGATCCTATGGTGATTCTTGCTGTATGTACAATCATAGAATCATAGAATGATAGAATAGTTAGGGTTGGAAAGGACCTTAAGATCATCCAGTTCCAACCCCCCTGCCATGGGCAGGGACACCTCCCACTAAACCATGGCACCCAAGGCCTCCTCCAACCTGGTCTTGAACACTGCCAGGGATGGAGCATTCACAACCTCCCTGGGCAACCCATTCCAGTGCCTCACCACCCTAACAGGAAAGAATTTCCTCCTCACATCCAATCTAGACTTCCTCTGTTTCAGTTTTAACCCATTACCCCTTGTCCTGTCACTACAGTCCCTAATGAAGAGTCCCTCCCCAGCATCCCTATAGGCCCCCTTCAGACACTGGAAGCTGCTCTGAGGTCTCCACGCAGCTTCTCTTCTCCAGGCTGAACAGCTCCAACTTCCTCAGCCTGTCTCCATACAGGAGGTGCTCCAGTCCCCTGATCATCCTCGTGGCCCTTCTCTGGACTTGTTCCAACAGTTCCATGT